CCCCCCGCCCGCCTCGGCAGCCGCGGCGGCGGCGGTGACGTCACCTATGTCGTCGTCGTCGTCTTCGAATTCCTACCTCTGTCCTCCCTGCGCGTCGCCGAGCTTCAATTTCTTCGACATCGACTCCGATCCCAATCGCGCCATTGATAAGAAGCTCGCGCTGGTTCTCCTCTGCGCCGCCAAGATCTCCGCTGCTTCCATGAACAAGGCCGTGATCGTCGCCCGCGCCGAGGCCGAGCGCCGCGTCCGGGAGGCGGCGCTCGCACGGAAGAGGGCGCGCGAGGCATTGGACAACCTCGCGCTCCTCGTCAGCGGCAGAGGAGGCAAGGCCGTCCGCAAGGATGCTGCCGCTGTCGAAGGATCGGTTTCTGATGTCTCCGCGTCGGCTAATTCAGCTCAGAAGCTGCAGAAGGAGAAGAGCTTCCCGGTCCCCTCTCCGAATCCGCATGGGAGACAGCAGAATTTCAATGGATTCTCAGCTCCGAGGCAGAGTCCGGCGGCGGCCGTGGGGTCGTCCACGGTTAAGAAGACCGAAAACGGAGAGGTTGAGGCTGTGAACGGCAATGTGAATGGCAAGGACAAGCCTGGGATTCTGGATGTCAAGAAGGAGAAAGCGGACACAGAGACGAAAAGCGATGTTCCTCCCAAGTGAGCTTTTTGAAGGTTTTTGGGGTTGACAGGTCGAAACAACCATGTGTCATTTGGTTCATTTTCGTTTTTTCCTGTTCTCTTTTGGCCATTTGGTTCTTTTCACCTCTAATGTCATTGTGATTATTTGGCTCTATTTCTGTTCATAATTCTACTTGGCCTTTTAGTAGAATTATGGACATTGTTGTTTAGTGAAGATACAGATATGACTGCCCTTTTTTCCCGGTTAAGTATGCTGATGTACTCCTTGTTTATAGAGAAATGACACTGATCATTTAGTTTGGTGATCGAACACTCCAAACATTAGCTTTCTACTGTTATGTATAATCAATCATGTTGCTTTTAATTGTTTGTACTTGTGTTTCAATCTTTGATTGTGGTAAGCGTGACACTTCTCTCCTAAACCTTAATCAAGGAGAATTACTAACTGTGACTTTTTGGATTTGCCCAACTTGTGGTTGAAAACTTAAAGTCTTATTATTATGTGCATCAATGTAAATTTTGAACACAAAGTCATTGACTTGTGTACTTGCTGGATACTCGCTGCAACTTTTACCTTTATTCAGACAAATTTTTTATCCTGCTTGAAGCAATTCTTCTTTGTGCCGAATTTTTCCAGGTAGTTTTCTCTTCTCTTCTCTTCTTCCTTTTTTTTTTTTTTTTAAGTTCTGCTAATACCAATAATTTTCTCCCAGTCCCAGATATGTTCGCTTTTGTAGGAAAGGGTTGCTAAATGCAACATTTCTATCACGTTCTTAATGTAGAGCCTGCTGTTTATATATCTGCATTATATTCTTCATGATTTGAAGCTCGTGTTTTGCGTGGTATTTCATCTAGTGCTGGAGATATGTTCTAAAGCTGTAATCAATCGTACATCTGTCAGAATAGAATTATGGAGGTGTTGTTGTCATTATTAACTGTTTCTATTGCGGAACAAGACAAGCACTATATTCATCCAAAACTTTTATCTACAAAAAAAAAAAAATACATTTGCCTGTTTGGAATAGTTCTTGTTTTTGTTTTTCACGTTTTTCAAGAAAAAAAAAATAAAAACAATTTTAAAACGCTGTTTGACACAATTAAAAATAAAAAATAAAAATAAAAATAATTTTTTAATTTAGTATAAAATGTGAGAAAAATGATTTTTAGTCGTTTTTCATTTTTTATTTTTGTTTTCTCTTCTCTCCAACAGAGAGAGATATTAATGAGTTTTTTTTATATTAAAAATAATTTTTTGATAAAATTATTAAACGTATTTTAAAAAATGATTTATGTCTGAGATTAAAAATATTTTTATTTCTATTTTTATTAAAAATAAAATGAAATTATTTTAGAACAAGACACGAGTATAAGAATTCTAAAAAAGAAATTTGAAGGGTTGATGCTACGTAATTGTAATGAATCCTGAAAGTTTTTTATTTAAAAAAAAAATGAAGAATAGAACCTGCACATGAATGTCTGGTGCATAGAACCTGCAGAAGCATCTCTGCTTTTTCACTTGTTATGAATTTGTAAACGAAATCACCATCACACTATTGAAATTCTAACGATCCAAGGTCTCCCTCTTAGCTGATCAAAGTTTGCCGCGCTTTCCAATCAAACTAATAGCTTGTTTGATTCGTAAGTTTGAATAAATTTTTAAACCCGGTTTGTTTCAATAATTCGAACTGTTATTTAGAATTGAAACCGTAGTTCAGGATTTAAATTGATGTTTGAGAGAAAATAATTTAAGGACAATTCAAACTATTAATAATGATTCAAACCCTTTATTTTGGAATTCACCTTTTCTTAAATTCTAACAGTCCTAATTGTTTTCTACAATGAAAATAATTGAGTCTATTTTTTCTCTCTTTAATTTCAAACTTAAAAATGTTATAACTTATCCGTTTTAATTTCGATAAAGATTATTCTTTTTAATGTGTTTATAATAAAGAGAGATAAATTCTCATTCATATTGCATATTTTTAGATGTCATTTACAATGATATTTTATAAGATTTATTACAAAACGTTAATTACAGTTTTCAACACTTTATTCAAACACAGTTCGAATTTTATTCTCAATTCAAATTACAATTTATTTATGTACTCAAATACCAGTTCAAATCACAATTCCATTCACACAATTAAAATCACAACTCAAATCATATCAACAATTTAAATCGTTAAACCAAACGGGCCCTAAATTTTTATAAAAGAAAGCGTTTAACAAAAATATTTGAATTGTACTCGGATCCCACAAAACAAATAGATAGAACGTGAGGTCTCATTCAATGGAAAAGAATTGAGTAGATAAGGGTATAATTTTAAATTGGTCCTACACCAAATATGTATTTTCTTTTGCAGCTAAGTGTCCACTTAATCTTGCCGGTAAAAATAAAAAACACCAGATTTCACCAATTAAACACTCTTTAATTAATTGGGCATCCTTATAATTTCTGAAGATTTAGTTTGAAGTTGATTGTACAGAACACGTCTTGCACATTGATAAAATGGGTGAAAATTCTCATTTTTACGAGCAACAGAATCAACTTGGTCAAAAAACCTATCCTGATAGAGGATCGAATAACTTCTTTAGTATTTTCATTGGGATACTGAGATCTTGGGATTTGGAACTTCACAAGGCCACAGTGTTGCAACTAAAACAATGAACCAATTGAGAATTAAAGTATGTGCAAGTGGTTACCTCGTAGAAGCCCATCAGAAATCACCGGAATCCATCTATGGCCGACCGAAGTCCATAGAGAACCTACAAAAGGAAGAAGAAGTTGGCAAAATGAGCTATTGAGCTCCTCCCTATCTCTCCCTCTCTGCCCCTTTCACATTTTAATACACACCACAAGCACAAGCCCACTTTTCTAGGGAAGGGGTGTTGCCTATATAAACTAAATAGGCCTAAGGGCTTTTAAGCAATATTCAATGGAGAGGGTATTTAGTCCAATGGGCTGACCAAATATTATGAGATAAAAGGAGTTTATATGTCTCAAGCAAGTTAATAAAATAAGTGTCCATCTCATTGTGGATCAATATTTAACATACATGCATGTGTTAATTCACATTAACATAATTGTCTATAAAATGCTTTAATTAATTACAGAGTGAATTATTATGATTATGGAAGTCCACAAAAATATTTCAACAGTCTCCCATTTCGACGGCATAATCATACAACGAACATTCACTCATCACAGCATAAGCCTCAACTAAGAATCCCACATAATAAACACAAGCCCAAAACAATCATGCATAATAACGTATCGATATGATACAATCATTATACATAATCTGGCGCTAGAGATTCATCAAAGCATGACGACAACTTTAATATATGGATCAAAAATAATAATAGAGACTAACAACCAGATATCTCTTTTCAATTTGTCACTTTGCCATCTAAACAGTGTGTCAACACAACATCACACATAAAGTGACAGATCCATGAATATGCATGTATTATTTGAGGCATAAACAATCCTTATCAATAACAACATATCACACACAAATGACAGTAAACTCTCACTAACTTAATATAACTACAGGCTCCTTACAGTCCCGAGTGGGATGCGTGTTTTTAAAACACCTAATAGGTAAGCCTTTAGTGTTGTTTATAGGCGTGCTTTCAGTAACAATGAGGCCTTTTTACAATTTCTCTTTACAAAAAAATATAACACACCATCATTATGTTTGAGCGCACAATGCTCCTGGCGTTCTAAGAGAAATATACTATTATGGAACTTTCATAACAAAGTTTCAGCCGGTCCAGAAATTGAGTGAACTACTCCTAATGCTGAAATAAGGTTCCACAATTACATCACACAAATAGTCTCACGATACGCCACATATACTCCGCATCACAGTCAAGGACGCTACGAGTGTCTATTTGACACTTTTCAACAAAGTAGCTCCTCCTTTTATCATTTATACAACCACCATAATCGGCATTACGAGATCTAACTACAACAAAAGTGTTGGTTCACCGATACACAACTATCTGGTACTTCATTCCCAGCTAATTCAATAATAATAACAACAATCACTCAAGTACTGAATATGCACGTCAACAACAAACACAATAATAGGATGTGTGAATACTTGAGCATACATCAGGCTGCTAAACACAGCATAAGGGACAATTTTATATGATCTCTCTTACTTCATCATAAGGACATTACACATTTGAGAGTTTGTCACTTTAACAAACAATGCTTACTAGGAGAATAAGAATGCATACTGAACCTGTTCAAAACAAGAACAATATAGGTTCTCTAAGACGACAAAAAAATGCACTTATTCTTGTCACGAAGAATCTACATGCCTAGAACATAAAAGGCTTTTTCAAGATTCTCAAACCAAAGTGACTAGGCGACATGCTATTCGTCTGAACCACTAGTTCAGAATCATTAGGCGTGAGCAAGTTGTCACCGACATGAAAAATAGAAACATGCAACTGCTCTCACTGACCTTACACATAATCATTTTTCAACAACGTTCTCCATGAAGCTAATTTAGTGACTATCTCATCCTAAAATTGAAACGCTACTGCCTCGGTGTTATCCATACACTCCCTCTCATCATAGAGTTTCTCAACACATTAGTGGAACTAGGAAACACATCCACTCTCAAGGCTATATCCATTTCATCATTAACAGATTCATACTATATATAATGACTTGTCCCATTTAATGTCAAAATAGCGGAGATGCAAGGATTGTTCAAGACTAAAGAAAACAACATGGGCAACCAACAATAGGCATGTAAAATAGGATCATGCAATTTGCCATTTACTTAACATTCCCAATTATCTAAGCCAATATGATCATTGTGTGCTAGAGTCCGTTGAGCAAGAATATAACTCTTTCGCAGGTAAGGACAATTCATGAAACATCACAACCAAATGCATCAATCCACCACCAATAGGGTAGTAAAGATTATGTGGTTCATGACATCCAACAAACTTCCTTCACCAGTCTAAGCATCCTACCAAACAATTAATTATCGATACAATAATTTAATTTCACATATGGATCTTAGCAATATGGTAAATACATACATTTATCCTTAACACTCCAATATATTATTTGACCATAATATGAGTTTAGTGATTATGCAAATCCATATATAATCATTCACAATATTCTCCTACTTGGACTGCATAATTAATGATGACAATACTCATAATACAAAATGTCAAATAATAATATGTAAACAAAAACATGGATAAAAACAACAAGCTTAAGCTCCAACAAGACTCAAGCGTCCTACCAAGCAATAAAACTATCGATAGGATAATTCTATTACCCATATGGACTTTCGAAACATAATTAACAAATTAAGTTTATCCATATGATCCCATGATTTATCATTTGATAATAATATGTGAGTTAGTGATTATGCTAATCCACAAAAATGTTTCTAATTTCCTCCCACTGGGATAGCATAATAAAAAAAACATGATACTCACATAAAATAAAATATCTAATAATAATGATATCAATAATAAATAAATTATGGATAAACTTATAGCTTAAGCTTTATAATAGCACATGAGCTTCTAATTAAAACTTTCATTCTCACTTTAACACAAAAGAGACCATTACACATATGCAAATAATTAGGCATTAAAACATTAAACATAAAATGGGCATATCCATATTATATGTCTAAATTTTATTTACCAAAATATCAAATTATGTAGGAGAACAAATAAAATATGACCATATAATATGGCGCAACAAGCATGCCCCAAAATTTTAGGTCTCAAAATGGTAAGAATTAAAACTACCCAGAAAATATATGAAAAATCATTAAAATAAACAAATATTTAAATAAAAATATTTTCTGGTAGCTCATGTGCATCCATGTAAGGAGTGTGTGTATCCCAATGCCTTTTTCAAAAGGAAATGTTAAATTTTGTGAGAGAGCTCTGTAACATACACAGACAATTTGACATGTTTTGAGACAATTTGACATGTTTGGACTTACGACAGACAAGTACATAAACATTCACTATTATCGATTTCTCATAATTAAATATGCCATATAATAATAACAACATAATATAAATTTTATGGCGTCAATCATCAAACAAATTATATACAAAATGGCCAGAAAAAATTTGTTTAAAAATTGTGAGAATTAGTCACCCATAAAAATAAAAAATCAATAATATAAAAATATTAAAAACATGATTTTATGGTAGCCCAAACCCAAAATAAATCATTTAATTGGGTAGGAAATGAAAAACGGAACACAACGACGAAAACGGCGATCAAAACAGACTTCAGATGTGTTCATACAGACCGGTCAAAGTTTGGTCAAAACTATTTTTTTTCCCCAAAAATGACATGTCATTTTGCTGATATAGAAAAATGACGTCATTTTGACAAAAACGACACAAAACTGAAATTATGAAACGACATGTCATTTTTAACCTAAAATCAAAACACAGTGTCGTTTTTGTCGTCCCTAACCTCTAGCCGGGTCAATAACGATCCGAACGAACCGCGACCCGACCCGGCCATATCTTGGCCTCCGGAACTCCGTTTTCGACGATTCAAAAGGGGTTTTTCTCCAAATTTCGTCCTCTTTTGATCCATAACATCAAAATGACCAAAAACACTCAAAATTTCAAACGAAAACAAAAACCCATTCCGGACATTTTTCATGCTTCAAACAGTGACAAATCGGCCAAATTGACTCACGAAACTTAGGAAAATTATCACCCATAAAACATATTTGAAGTGGGTAACCTCAAAGAATCATTTCTTTGAGCTAAAACATGGATTCAAAATTTTGGGTTTTTGTTCCACCGAAAATGAAAAAATCCGAAAATGCACAGCCCCAAAACTCAAATTGGAGGCTTTGATACCAATTGTTAGAACTAAAACAATGAACCAATTGAGAATTGAAGCATGTGCAAGTGATTACCTCGTAGAAGCCCATAAAAAATCACCGAAATCCGTCTATGGCCGACCGGAGTCCATAGAGAACCTGCAAATGGAAGAAGAAGTTGGCAAGAGGAGCTATTGAGCTCCTCCCTATCACTCCCTCTCTGCCCCTTTCACGTTTTAGCACACACCCACAAGCGCAAGCCCACTTTTCTAAGGAAGACGTTTTAGCACACACCACAAGCCCACTTTTCTAAGGAAGGGGTGTTGCCTATATAAACCAAATAGGCCTAAGGGCTTTTAAGCAATATTCAATGGAAAGAGTATTTAATCCAATAGGCTAACTAAATATTATGAGATAGAGGGAGTTCATATGCCTCAAACAAGTTAATAAAACAAGTGTCCATCCCATTATGGACTAATATTTAACATACATGCATGTGTTAATTCACATTAACAAAATTGTCTAAAAAATATTTTAATTAATTACAAAGTGAATTATTATGATTATAAAAGTCCACATAAAAATATTCCAACACACAGAGGCAAGCCAACCGACCTGACATTCTAATTAAGGCCAAGAAAGACTGATAAGTTGCAGCAAATGCCCAACGCTGGCCACAAAGGTAGCTCAAGATGCAGTTGACAAAACACTAGTATTCTAGAAAACTTGGATCGTCAACAAACCATTAACTTATTTTCTTTCGGTGAATGACCGCCAAGTCAAATTGCATGAGGTAGTGCAGTAGGACTTGAGTTTGGGTGGCACAGGCTCAATCCCGCATTGTATCAAGAAAGAAAAAAACAAAAAAAGAAAAAAGAAAAAAGAAAAAAAATCTTTAAAAGCATGAATCACACGTTTTCTAAGCCCTCAACGAGTATGTTGCTAACAGTATCTTGCTCAGTAGGGTTACCATAGACCAGCGTCTCACTCTCTACTTCTTCTCTAGCAACAGAGCCAATCAATAATCCGTGAGTTTTTGCATCTGGGACCCAACCCTTTTCCAACATTAAATCCAGTAACCTACGAGCCTCATTTTTGTTACCCTCTTTCCACAAGCCATTGATCAGAATGTTGTATGTCGATGGATCCATTTCTTCTCTGGAAATAAGTTTATCGATGGAACACGAGATTGCACACAACTGACCATGGTTAGCAATCCAAGAAAGTGCCTCAAAAAGTCTTTCTGAGGCGGGCACGAGACCCTCTTTAACCATCATGTTAAAAAGCAAAACACAATCCTCTATTCTATTTTGCAAACTCATGCTCTCTATGAGAATGCAATATGCTTCCGAGTCGATGTTGCAACCCTCCACCAGCATCAGTGAGAGGACTACCAACACATCTTTTGACTTGCCCACTTTTAGCAAACCATGCATAATCATAGCGTAAGTTGAACTAGTACAAGAAGTACCTGAAGTGTAAGCCAACCAGCAGAGTCTTATTGCTTTACTGAGCTTTCCAACGTCGCAAATACCCTTAATCAACATATTGAATGACAAAGATCGAAGAGGGCATCCATTGCCAGACATGTAACGGAAAACTTCAGCAGCCTCAGTTATCAATCCCGTGTGGCAAAGGCCTTCAACTAGCTTGGAGTAAGATACAGAATCCAAAACCCAACATTCATCCTGCATCCGATAAAATAATTCCAGAGCATCCTCATACTTGCTCAATTTGCAGTTTCCAAGAACTAAAGCTGAGTATGTGGCAGAGTCGGGCATAAAAGAAGATACAACTATTCTACCAAGAAGTTCAGAGGCTTTCCTAATCCCTTCTTGCTCACATACCCATCTGATAAGGATATTCCAAGTACTACAATCCTCTATATTCCTCTCCAATATTTTACACATTGTATCTTTTGCCGTAGAAAATTTACCTGCACGGTAGCAACCTTCAAGTAATGCATTGTATGGAGAAATTTCAAGAATATTCTTTTCTTCCAGAAACTTTACAGCCTCGTCTACTTTCCCTAAGTTACAAAACATGTCGATTACATCGACAACAACGTCATTAGGCAGTGGCAACCCAGTTTTGATCATCTCTTCAACAAGAGAGATTGCCGCATCTAACCAAAAGTTTTCACATAAACACTCCATCAAAACTGTATAAGTCATCGAATCCGGCACAAAATTATAACCTTTCATCATTCTAAACAATCTGATGGCCTCCTTTAGCTTATTTTCCCTACAAAACAACGGTATTGCACAACTAAAGAAACTCAAATCAGGCTCACATCCAGATTCAAACATTTCGCCCAAAACAACGACGGCTTCATCCACTTGGCGTTTTGAAACAAGACCCTTCACAAGTATCTCAAAAGTTCTACTGTTTGGACTACAACCCTTCTTGTTCATTCTCTTAAACTGATCCAATGCAGTTTCAACACGGTCAACCGCAAACAATGCATCTAACAAATAGTTCAAAGTCTCAATAGTTGGTGAAACTCTTGCTTTAACCATCTCTTTATAAACAAACAACACATCCTGAAATTCTCTCTTTGCTCTTACCAAAGCACCCAATAAAGAATTAAATATCTCAATTGAGGCATTATAGCCACCTAAATTCATACTCACAAGTACTAATAAAGCTTCACTTAGTCTAGAATGTTTAACAAACGTATCAATTAATGCACAAAAAGCCTCTTTAGTACCTGGGATTCTGTCTCTTGCCATATTTTGACAAAACCCCTCCATTTCTTGAATATTCCCAGCCAAGCCCAGCTTCAGAATGATCCTGTTATACGTATCTGGAGTGTGGCAAAACCGATTTTGGAGAGAAGCCCATTTGAATATCTTCACAGCAGAGCTCAAATCGTCTGTGTTATCCAAGACCCGGATTAAGTTATCCGGGACAAGCTTATTCCTCAAGAACCGAATGCTCTGTTCGAACTCGAACGTATTTGGCGGGTTCCGATTGGTTTCCGGGAAAATTTCTGCTGGATTAGCGGAGGGAATTGAAGAAATGTATGCGCTTGAGATTACCCAGATGGGGATTTTCTTGGAAAACGTTAAAGGGGCTAGCTTTACAGCCATTGATGATGGGATTCATGAACCATGGCGAGTAGTTTCTGGGAAAATTTTGAAACTATTAACTGATAGTGTCGAGTAAGCCTGGAAATGCAAACAGAAGAGGAAGAAAAGATTTGAAGATATTTGAAATACTGGGAAAGAGAGAAAATTTGATAAAAGAGACCCGAGAAAATCAGAATTTGAGGAAATAGACCAATTTTTTTTATAACAAAAAAATGATGACGTGTATCTTACGTGGCAAAAAATAAGTCCTATTAATCCTAGGTCATTTTCAAAAATCTCATTCCTCACAAAATCGACCGCCGCTCGACCCTCTCTTCCCCCCGAAATCGACCGCTCGACCCTCTCTCCCCCGACTGAGCTCTCTCACGATCGACCACCAGTTTTTCTCTCCGATCACCTCTCGCCAACTGCCGGCTTTTCTCTCTGATCAGTCACCAACCTCACGACCGACCGCCGGCTTTCCTCTCACCTATTTCTCTCTCTCTCTCTCTGATCCACTCTCCGATCTCTCTCGTCTCAGCCGACCGACCACTCACCAAGCACCGACCGTTCATCAAAAACCGACTCCCTTCCCACTAAAACTGACCAAAAACTGACCCCGACCACTCACCAAATTCCCGACCACAAAAACCGACCACCTGCTCACCAAAATCCGACTAAAATGGCATAAAAAACCAGCTCTTCTTACTCAACTAAAACGGCCATTTCCCGAACAGTTGTCGACGAGGCAACGGAATCTGCTGAGGTAATATTCTTGTCTTACTTTTTCTTATATATTTTTGCAAGAACAAAAACTTAATATAAGCAACATTGGTCTGTTCATAGTCGGTTCTTAGTCGGTTTTGGTTATGGTCTGTTCTCAGTTGGTTCTAGGTCGGTTTTAAGTCGTTTCTAGTGGTCGGTTCGTAGTCGGTTCTTGTCGAGAGGGGTCGGTTCTGGTCGGTTCTTGGTGAGATCAGTTCTTGGTTGGTTTAGGTCAGTTTTGGTCAGTTTTGGTCAGTTCTGGTCAGTTTTGGTCGGTTCTGTCTGTTTGGTCGGTTCTGCGGGGATTTTGGGTCGGGTCATGGTCCGTTCAGTCGGTTCTTGTTGGTTTCTCTGTCTATTCTGGTCGGTTCTGTCGTTTTGGTCGGTTCTGACTGGTGTGTTTTTTCTTCTTTTTCAGTATGACCTCCCAAAGTACAACACAAGTGAACTTCCTAGGATCGAACATCTAAAGATGATCATGGATCCTGTGCGGCAGTATTTCCCAGTGAAAGTGACTATGAAGTCAAAGATCGAGGCTTTGGAGGTAATCAGGCAGACCTAGACCCCGAAACAGAAATGTCAATTGAAACGTTGAAGAGGCCAGTGACTCCTAGTATATGAAATGTTAGTTGTTTTGGTTGTAAAATAGATACACAACATTATTGCAATATGTTTATTATTGGCATTGCATTGCATTTATAATTTATCATATTCAACAAGTTATTTTGGCTCTGGGGAAGCTTATATTTATGGGAAAATGCTGCCCAAATATTTACACAATAATGTATGTTTTTTTTTATTTAAAAACTTCAAATCAGTCCTGAAGATTGCAAAATGCGTGTTTCATTGTAAAACTAGGGGTTTTATCGGGGCGGG